TTTTCCTTACCAATTTACCTTTTTCCCATCAACATTATTTATCTTGATTCTATTTTTAAGCTCAGCCTTATTCAAACTATACTGCTTTCTTCCTCTCAACACGATTCAACTTGTGCTCCCGAAGACCTCCCGTTGGCTTTTCCCCTTTTGCTTTATACTGCACTTGCTGTTACTAACTCCTATAAATTTAACAATACTATTGAAAAGCAAAGTTTTATGTTATCAAAAAAACTTTACAATCTTGTAACTGGCCAGAAAGCTATTGAATCTGACGTAATCGTATCTTATACCAATGCAAATGGTCATTATGATTCTCTTAAAAAAAGCTTAAAGAAGAGTGTTATATCAGCTGTTGGAAGATTAAAACTTACCTTCAATAGCAAAATCCCCCACATAATTTCCTCTGAAATCGAGTGGAGTTATGCCGCAAATGATCCGAAATCATCAAACAAACCCTCTATAAAATCTAAAGAGTTAAACACTCAACTCGATTTGATTAAAGAACAGTATATTACTACTTCGCAAAACTCTAATAAAAGAGTACGATCTAGCCTCTTCGTCTCCTCTTTGAGTACTTCATCCGATAAACCTTTAGCCACAAATCTTAAAGACCTTGCTGATCAAATCCGAAGCACTACTTCTGAAACACAAAACACTTCTACCGGATCATCTAAATAAATTATACCTTTATATAACTGTCATATATCAATTTTTGATCTATTATTTAGCTCAGAAATATATTTGTCAAATAAATGCTATACCTTATATTTTGAAGTTACGCTATTCTTATATCTTTTTTTTACTATACAGCTACTTTCAAAATTTATCTCTATTTTGTTATAAATATACATTTAAATTTTAAATAAACATCTCATTTTATCTCTCAAATAATTATATAACTATCGTCTAATCAGTATCTTACCTATTTGATTAATAAAACAAAAAAAAAACTTGCTACTTTTCTATACATTGCACCGTTAAAAATGACAGCTTTGTTACACCATTTGTGTTCGGATCTCACAGTTGAAACTAATTACATATGCAAAAATTTGTAACACTCTCTCA